GCTGATGGGGCGTGTTGCCAAGTGGCGGGGTGATACTGAAGAATTCCAATGTCATTGAACATATGGTGGGAGGCACCAGAGTCCAGAACTACAGGAAGATTTTGTGGAGTGACAGATAGCATGGTGACTGTGGTGATGTGCCCAAAGGCTGGCTTTTCGAACTGAGAGACAGCAGGAGGTGCTATATTGGGCGTTAGTGGAGGTTGACGGAGCGGACGTGTGATGTTGAGAAGGGTTGGTGCGTGGTTTTCTTATTGGTCTCATCTCAGGGTGTAATGACCAGCAGGTCGCTTCCGGGTGCGTAGCGTCTGGGTGATGTTTACCGTTGCGACAACCAGATGGAGGACGAGTACGAGTGTTGTTGAGAGCCACGGCTGACTTCTCCTTTCTTTTCGGTTCTTCATCCTTCTCTTCAGCGACGTCTTTGAGCCTTGCAATAAGGACTTCGTGATTTTCCATGATGTCCGGGTTAAAGATGAAAGAGTCAGTGAGAGCACGTCTGGTGTGCGAGAGTTTCGAGACGATCACGCTACAAACGTCTTTGCTGGGCATGGGATGAGCGATGGATGCAAAAGCGTCGAGTGAGTCTTGAATGTCGCGTATGAAGGGAAGCATCTTTCCTTTGTACTTGATTGCATACCAGTTGGTCATGCACTTCGTGTACCGATGAGTGGTATATCGAGCATACGTGTCCTGCACGTTCTTCCAGATGAGGTAACTGTTATCTTCGTTACCCTCGGTGACGAGACCGTTATGAATAAAGTCAGCTATCTTCATTGTGATGGCATAGCCTGATTCCGCTAGTTGCTTCTTGACTCGGCCAACGGGATTAGGACCGGGATCGGCGGTGACAACGGTCCAAAGGTCCTTGCTTTTGAGGAAAGTTCTCATCCGTTTAGTCCACATCGGGAAGTTGCTTTCTCCTTTCAACGTGGGTAACAAGGAGAGTTCTTCTTTGAAGGAGGGTGTCGCGGCTGCCATTTTTCGTCCGTGCCCTTTTAGAGTTTTGTCCTAAGAAGCCTGAGGAGTGGTCCTGCGTCGAGACTGTAAATCTGTTAGAATAACAAAACTAAAGTAATATTTCAAGTCAGGATCATAATAGGACGATGA